AAGGCACTTCCACCAAACCTGAATAGGATGATTGTTTACTGCCAGACAGCTCAGGGCATCTTAATATACATGTTATTGCCTCCTGTTGGCCAAATACCTGAATAACTGTAAGCTATTCCCCAATCTGACAATGCTTCTGTAAACCCTACCCTTTGAAGTGTATTATCTCCACCTTGCCTTAGGACAAATTGTGTTAATAAAAAGCAAGGGGTCCTGAGACAAAGAAGAGTCTTTACCTCCTTTAGCTGAAGGTCCTCTGATCCCCAGTGCCTTTCAAAACTATCTTTCATCTTTGAGCTCCTACTTCATCTATGCACAGCCTTTCTCCAGATTGCTGAAACCCTTCTTAATGCTGGGACAAGAACCCCAGCAGACTTCCTACAAAACTGCTCCAGTGTGAACTGGTCTTGCTCTGGGTAATAGGGTAGTACACTTGAATGGAAACAGCAAAACACAAAACAAACGAAGAACAATAACAACAACAACAACAACAACAAAAGTACAAAAATTTTCAAAGTGCTCATTAATAGATGGTTCTCTTGGTCAATTATTTATCAGTGGCTTCCTGTGGTCACAATGGACTGAAATTCTAAAAGCATGTCATGCATGTTTACAGGAGCAAATGGTTTGATTTGTTTTATCAAAATTTGAAGTTTTTTTTTTTAAAAAAATAAATATATGTATATATATTTATTGACTTCAGAGAGAGGAAAGGAGAGAGAAACATTAGTGATGAGAGAAAGTCATCAATTGGCTGCCTCCTACACATCCCATACTGGGACTAGGCCCAAAACCCAGGCATGTGCCCTGATAGGGAATTGAAACAGTGTCCTCTTGTCTATGGAATGACAACCATTGAGCTACACTGGCTGGGCTAACTTTTAAGACCTTTAATATCCTCCAAAGACATACACTTTGGAAAATACTGCTAGAAAACTAAAGGAGGAAGAAAACCTTCAAATAAATGGAAAAAAATTGGCTGAGAAAACATTTTTTTCCTGTGTTTCTTTTTTAAAGAAGTAAATTATAATAGTCAGTGACCCTGTTGCAGTGTTCAACTTCATTAATTAAAAATTAAGAGAAATTATTTAACAATTACACATTATATCAATTATATTAATAGTTTTTAATAGAAATATTAAAAATGGAAATTGATAATGAAGAATATTAGTAAAATAAAATTTAATTAAAAATAACATTGGTTTTAAGGAACATCAAATTATTCATCTACTCAAGATGGAGTGTTCTTGAGGTCTGAATTACAAGTCTTATTTGGAGAGAAATGTCAGATGGAATAAAGTGGGGGATGCAAAGCCCTTGGAGAATAGTCTCAGGGACTCAGATTTTATCCATTTCTCAGGAAAAGATTCCTGAAGGTACACAGTGAGCAAAAGTAATCCAAGTGTTGCCACCATATATATTAATAGGATGGACTGGAGATGATGTACAGGGAGGCCAGTAGAGACTGTTGAAGTAGTTAGGCATGAAATAGTGATAATCCAGCCACAAAGTAGTTTATATTTAATAAAGATGATCTGACACATTCTGAAGAAAAATTAACACTGCTTTGTGACTGATCAGATAAAAGTGAATTTTGAGAAGACATGAGTGATCATCATGAAAGAGCAGGTGAACTCACAAAGCAAGGAGTTTGAAGCAGAGAGCTAAAGCTCTGGAGGGATAAAAGGGATGTATTGATCTGGAAGATTTAGACACACAAGACATGGGTTAAATTAATATGTATAATAGCTATGGAAAGGCTTTGTTAGAAGAGTCCTTCCTCAGACCACATACATATTTGTAAAGGTCCAATCAGCACAAAATAAGATGGCAACAATAGCCCCCCTCAAGGCATGCAGAGAAGAAATGCCCATTAAGCATACATTATTTTCACCCCCCTCAGGTCATTCACATATGGATCCTAACATCAACTTTTGTCACATATTGAATATAAGCATTAGAAGATATGGAATTTCAAAGGCAAGCCAAAGAAAATACTTTTCCTCTTTATGCCCACATATATTTTCTGAACTGAAATAAAATATCCCACATATAATCAATCATTTTTCTTGCTAAGTAACAGGTTTATTATTCATTTACTAAAAAAACATATTTAGCACAAAGATATGTTCTGTAGAAAGATAAAGCATAACACTTTTCAGATTTCCACTGATTTTTGAAAACAACATTTCTCAAGTGGTAGAACTATATAAACACAGACATGAAAAACACCATCATCACATTTTTAAAAAGTTGGCAAGCACACTTGACTTTAATAAAAATAAAATTAAACTGGTAGCTTTGGAAAGACAGCATTCTGTGAGATGTGTACATGTTTCCTTGGGAAAAATTTACGTTTGTTCCAAATCACATTTATCTGTGGGAATAATACAAATTCAATACATATTTAAACTCAGTTGTGTCAAGAAGATAAATAATAACCATAGGCATCAGGTCAGGAAAGAACTGAGCTCTTCAGACAGACAGGCATTCTTTCTTAAAACCATTTGATGAAGTTAATTCTTGGCACACTCAGGGTAATCTTATTGTTTGGATTAACAATGGCTAAAGTTAGAAGTGATGAAATTTCTACTTGCCTTAGATTGCTATTACTATCGTTATCTTAAAATTTTTGAGTCCAGTTTTTCATTACAGGCAAATAAGGTTCATTTCTTTCCATCTGTGTAATAATCTGTCATAGGTAATAACTTAGAAGGGTAGAAGAATAAAGAAAACACTAACAAAGGAAGGGACTAATATGTGGAAGATAGAGGAAAATTAAATTAATAAAAGAACTAGCATTCATTATTATTCAAATGTCATTCTACCAGAGGTATACAAAGACAGAGGGAGATGCCAGAGCTGAATTCCATGAACTTAAAATCTACGTAGAGAGACAATAAGTTCTATTCATGTGATTCAAATAACAAAATAATAAAATTTCCAATAATGTATTGTATCTAAGTATATGACAAAATGCTGAGAAAATCTGGTGTCATCAAAACAGGTAATAAAGAGAAACATGTATATCTAATTGTGCTCTAAGAAAGATATAGGATTTGGCACAGAAATCCCAGGTAGAATAGCATAGGTAACTTAAGCAGAAATGGGCAAGTTGTTTGCAAGCCAGTAATAACTCAGAGCAGATCTACAGCAGAAGCATAATAGGCAAGGAGGGCTAGTTAACAGACGCTAAGGCATCAGAATCTGATTCAAGATCTCATAAGGAGCCACTGTAGTTTTTTTAAACAGGAAAGTAGCTTCAAAAATATTCACACATTGTATCTCCATTATGTTAAAACTATCTCTTGGGTTTAATAAAAATTTTATTGAACTCATGTTTGTATACACAGGGCTGACCTGGCTCTCACTGTGGAGACATCGTGTTTGACATGATATGGTTTATATGTGTATCTGATGAAAAACTAGACTTAATAGCCTACCTGATAATCTAACAATCTCACTTTTTAATAAACTGACATAAAAGGCATTTATAGTTGTCTATGTGGACAATGATTAAAAAGATAGTTCCCCCAAATTTATTCCCAAATGACTGAATAAATAAATGCACATAGTGTTATGGACTGAATTGTGTCCACCAAACTAAATGTTGAAGCTCTAGCCCCAAATGTGATAGCTATTGAGATGGGGCCTTTGGGTGGTAATTCATTTTAGATAAAGTCACAAAGGATGGAGCCTTAATGATGGCATCAGTGAGTGCCCTTATAAGAAGAGACATCAGAGAATTTCCTTTCTCTACCCTGTGAGGACAAAATGAGAAGATGACCATTCTTAAAACAGGAAAAGAGCCTTCATCAGGGACCTGAATTAGCCAGCATCTTGGTCCTGGACCTCCCAGTCTCACAAGCTCTGAGAAATAAATTCCTGCTCTTTAGGCCTTATAATTTATGGAATTTTGTTATTGTACCTTGAGATATTACATAGTATCATTAAAAACAATCTCAGACACTTCACTGATCCTTTTTATCCACATCTTTCCCTAAATTTTCCTTGGCTTTTCCTTATATGGATGGTAGGCAAAGGAAGCATGAACTCAATATTTATTAAATTTTTGCTAGCATCTATAAGATGTTCTATATTTGTTACCTAATTTAACCTTGGCAAGAAAATTTGACACCATGATCTATAAGAAGAGTTTCAAGACAATTTTATTGGGGGAAAAAGTAATAGAAATTGTACACATTTTATAACCCACAATTAGGAGTCTTCTAAATAGTATACATATATAACTAATTTATATCTGACAACCACAGTGGACAATGAAAATAAAACACTCCTTGGTAACTTTTCTTAAGGATAATCAATAATTTATTTCTCTTTTATTGTCACAATTACTACAATCATCTAGCTACATGACCAATGTCACTACATATCACAGGAAGATTGTCCACCTACACTTTACTGAGACAAAGACAATGGCCATTTATGTGCCAAATGTACAACAGGATGATAAACTGAGGTGATTTTTATGTATAAGATAAGATGTGGTACATGATTTATTAACAGATTCAATTTAACATGTATTATGCCAAGAAGCAAGTATAGAAATGTTTTGGCATTGACTTGTTATTAAAGTAGAAAATAAGTAAATTAGAGAAATAAATCCAGATCTTAACTTACAATAGATACAATAAAATAGGAAATGAATTGGCTCCTTAGAATTTTTGTTCAAGTTTTTTTTGTGTGTTTTGTTTTCTTTCCTTTTGTTTTTATATATAAATGAACAATATGAATATATCACAAGTTAAAGAAAGTCCTCAGCAATAATAATAATAATAAAATAAAAATAAAAATAAAAGGTACTAGTATATGAAAAAAAACAAATGAAAATTTACCAGGTATTTTTGCCTTACAAAAATTTAAACTATAAAGAGTCAGAAAATATATATAAAAACGCCACATTGAACGAGGCAATCATACTCTACCCAAATTGGTAGCACCCCCTTAAAATCAGCTGTATTCCATCCCCATTCACTCGGTCATACAGTGGTGACTGACAAAAAGGCATTATGAACTCGTGTGCCATCCGGAGACTTGGCCCCATGGGTCATCAGTTCTTGGATTGTCATCCAGTTGTCCAAAATTTTCTTGTTTCTCTTCTTCATCATCTTTTTGTGACTCAGTTCAAGGATGTTGATCTCCTTCTTGCCCTCGCTGCCGCTCTGAGGACTCTCCTTGAGACACTCTAACCGGCTCCGCATCATGAACTCTCTGCGCCGACGCTGCTCTTTGGCCCGAACCAGGTGTTGCTTTCTTTCCTCTTTGCTCCAGTAGCGACCCATTTTCATCTCGCTCATGGTGTCATCATCGGTCGTCATGCCGCTCCGCTCCTCCTTGATCTTTAAGGCACGTTCCTTCAGGATCCGGTCTCGCACTGGTCTCTTTGTGATGTACCGGGTCCCATCGCTCCTAATCTTCACCTTCCATTCCATCTTGGGTTCCGAACACTTCTGGGACTCCTTGCACATGCTCACCAAACTCAGCTGACTCTGGGCATACTCGACGGCAGATTTCTGTTGAATTAACTGCATGTAGCTCTGATAATGCCGGGCATGGGCTGGTATGTTGGCATACCTGTATGAGGAGCTGTGGTAAGGAGAGAGGTAAGGGACGTGCTCGCTGCCCGTCTTCTCTGGATCAGAAAGCTTGTTGATTTCTGAGACCTTCTCCTTGCCTTCAATGCCACAACCTTCAGTGGGTTTGGCTTTGGGGAAGGGAGACTCTTTACTGCTCTGTCCAGGAGAGGGCTGAGTGGCCGCCATTGTGCTTCTCAGGTTTTTCTTATTGGTGAGGTTGATCATTCTTGGAAGAGAGCTGTCGGGGGAACGGTCCACAGTGAGTGGGGTGCTCCTGCAGCTTTCAGCTGTGTTGTAAGCACTGGAGCTGTCCTTGTCTGACTTTTCTGGATGCTCAATGATGTCATCTAGCTTTCCTCTTTGCATATCAATGCTGGTGTTGTAATTTCGGAATCCTCCATCATGCAATGCCCAGATGTCTCCATACTGCTCTGTTACCTTCTGGAGCCTGTGAGCTTGCATGATATTCTGGCACTCGAGTTCAATGTTCCTTAGCTCTTCATTCAGCAACTGTAGCTCATGCTCCACTCCCTCTTGCTCCCCTGGGTTGCATTCTATTGTGCTGCTCGAGTAGTACAGGTCATACTCTCCGTGGTTCTGAATCTTGCATTTGAGCTCCAGGAGCTGCCGGAATCGTTCACACTCCTCGTCTTGGTTGCCAGGGCAGTCTGAGTCGATGTATTCACCTGACACAAAGCTCTCGTTGCACTGGAGCTCCACGCTCCCCAGGGTGTCCTGGCTCTGCCCCAGCTCTCTCTTGCTCTTCAAAGATGTGCTTTTGGGATCCTCAGCCGTATTTTCCTGCTCTGAGCTCTCATCGTTCCGCAAGCTTTCATCCGTGCGGCCCACTCCGCTGTCCTTCTCATGGTTGTTGGACGAGGATGTGGCTGTGTCTGTTGTGCCTTCTTCTTCTTCGTGTTTTTTTGGCTAAGAAAGCAGTGTTGAGGGAAACAAAGAAAACACGGATTGTTGAAACACTCGCTGTGAAAACAATGCTTCTTGGCAAAAGTGTGGGCCCTAAACAGCTGCGGCACTTTCAGTATCCACAGCAACATTACACGTAAAGGCAGTCAGCTCAAGGCGGCTTTTTATGCCATGAATTACAGGAAACAAAAGCTGACCGTGGCTATGCTACTCACTTGGGGATAAATAAAACAGGACACAGTTAAATAAGCGATTCTTAAGGCTTTCTCTTACTTGGGAAACTGGTGTGAAGGTATGTTTATGAGTTTCTGGGGTGATAATTCACACACACAAACAATGAGTAACACAGAGTGTCTATGGTCCTTAGCAGTATGGAGGCCTAAAGTTCAGAAACCGCATAACCTTATTGTCCCCCCGTCCCTGAATTTTAAGTTCAGAGGACAATTTATTGATCTAGTTAGTAATAGACTGGTAATGGTTAGGCGAACAACACAACATTTCAGGAATAGGTTAGTATTGGAGCCTAGGACTTTCTATCTATAGATGAGGAAGAATAACCTCAGATGGGTTTAGCATATTGGTGACAGAGAGGTCTAGAAGGCAAGGACGTCGCTCAGTGTCAGGCTTTCTTAAGTGTCCAGAATACCACATTCCTGCACACGTGTGCTTTGACCTCAGTGCATCTCCAACTCATGTGGCTCAGAAGCGACAATAATGTCTTAGGACTCATTTGGGGGTACTGCAGAAGATTCTTCCACGCTAAACCAGTAATTTCCTTCAAAGGTTCTATTCTACGGAGAGTAAAATAACAGTTCCCTTGAAAGTCTGAGCCACTCTCATTGCCAGATAATGGCATAATATAAAAAGTATACTTTGATATGCACACAAAGGTATATATACACATAGGTATACGTATGGTAATTTTTGGCTTTCACACAGACTAATAAACTGCCACTGCATCTCCTTATATCTAGTTCTTTCTCTGTGAAGAGGGCCAAGTTACTTTTTCCCACCATTCCTCATATAGTCTACCTAGCAGTTTCTAGACTATAGTTTCCTTATATCTGAGTTTTTTTCTCTAGCAGGAGTTAAGTATATAATTAATCCTGCTAATGTTAAAAAGAAGGGCAGAATGGGTAATAAAAGGTATTCTAGAACAGGTCTGAAGGGCCTCCTCAGATAGTTCTTTTCTTCCCCAAAAGTAACGAGGAACGAAATGTAACAAATGCAGAGGGGAGAATGTGGCCATGCGTCATGTTACTCTAGGATTCTCAATCTTTCCCTAAAATGCAATTCCTCATTTGGCAAAAACATACTGAGATTGATTTTAAATGTCTTATTGATGAAAAATAATGCTGTAAGTCATTGTAACTAACAACGGAACTCCTGTTATATCCCTATGTCCCTCCCTATAAGCTTATAACAATATTAAATGTGGTGGCATCTGCATGTTGTTCCCTGAAATCCCCAGGGAATATTACTGATATTGGATATTTGAGTTTCTGTACCACAGTGTTTACATTGATATTTTCCTATATCTAATGATAAGCTGAAACCAATACAAGAATACTAGTATTTTTTAAATTCTGCGTGCAATATTAGTGATATAAACAAATTAAGCTATGGGAGATGTTATACAATGTGTCAAGAGCTGCTACAGGACCAAGGATAGCCTGTGAAATGAAACTTTCACGTGGTGATGTATTTTAGTGTTTAAATATGGATAAGCATTTTAAAATTGAAGTTCCCTTTCTTTTGTCACAGGTTTATGACCAAATGAAAAAATAAAGGAGTTTTTATTTTTATTTTTATTCTTATTCTCAAACCCAGAATTCCTAGTTTCTAAGGCAATGCTACTCCATCATTTATCATTTCCCTACAGAATTATTATAGTGACAGGCAATGTTTCCATCAGGACATTCCTAATGCAGTATTATTGTTTATAAGGGCAAAGGACTTTTAAGGGTTTCTGCACTTCTCATCGTGTTTCAGTCTCCTGGTAAAGAAAAATTTCCACACAATAAAAATCTAACCTCAGGGACATCTAGCGTTACCTCAAAAGACCTAGCATTTGTATTATATTTGATGAGTAGGCAGCATCTGACACCATATCGCTTCACCTGGGCTTCAATCTCTCCTTCTCTCTTTATTCCAACATCTCCCTGTCAATTCTGCATTCTGCATCAGGCCACATTTTGCATCTGAGAGAAAAAAGTCCTGGAGCAAGGTCTTTCTTGCTTGTTACCAGCAGCTGCCACCCCAAAATATCTTTATTCGTGGCCAGTGTAAGTCATACATTCAAGTTTCAGCCTGTCCTATATTGAAAAGGACCACCTCATAAAGAGTAGCATGAACTACTCTTTATGAGGTGGCCAATGAGCATCCGTGACCAGGGGAGAGTATAGAGCCTATATGCCTATGTTGACACTGTCATTTGCCATCTCATGATTTATTTAGTATATGGACATGTGCACCTAGATGCACTACATCTATGTTATGGGATGCTAGCATGTCAACATATTTCATCATTCAGCTTGGTAAAGTGATAGGATGTTTGTGTGTTATGCTCCTAACCCTGTCAGGATATTTTTTAAATTGTCTTTTAAGATGTGTTAAGGATTCATGTTGCGAATAGGATGATAATTAAATAAATCAGTAAACTGACAGCGGAAGTGTTAATAAAATATATTAGGCAGATGAATGTCATGAACAAAATCTAGGACATATTGATCTTGTCTGTATCTAATAGGAAAACAACAACAAAAATGAAATGACTTGGTTTGCCCCAAACCACCGTGTGATCTTTTACTATTTACAAATTAATTAAGGATCTTTGCTTATTTTTCTTTGTGTTCTCAGGATCGTGTGGTGCTCGGAACACGTGTGGAGCTCAGAATTTTTCACCGAATAAATAGGTGAGCCTATTTGATGTCAATAATTTCAAGTAGAACTGCTCCTATTTTTATCATAAAGGTATCATCATGATGCCAAAAACACAACTAAGATGGATGGTCTACATCATGTCATTATCTTCCCTTAGTTGCCTAAATATTCAAATACACACATTAATTTTAAAGTATAAAATGACTATTTCAGGGAAGAGAGGAGGGGGTCACTTTAGGAGTTGTAGTTTATCTCCAGCTGGCATACTGAAAGGCAATATGCATTTTTACTATTCAATTTCTGAATTAGGTTGAACAGTATCTGGGTCAGCATTTGAATACTACTGTACTCTATTGACAACAGTCCCTCAGCTACCCAAACTACAAATATTCTTTATAGAATAAAATGGTATGCATTCTGTCTGCTTCATTTGAGATTATCATTTGCTCTCAAAATTATCATTATAGATATGTTTGATCAGACGCTTTGATTTTTTTTTACTCCATTTATGGTTATATATTAAAAAAGAGAAGTAGCAACATTTCAAATGATATGGTTCAAATTGTTGGCCCTACCTGCTCCACCTCATTGGCGGTGTGCTGCATTGCTTCATTATGCTGTTCTTCCAGCATTTCCAAGTTTAACTCCTCTAAGAATTCGTTCCTTTCATCTTCCAGCCAGCTTTCGTCCAGCTGCACAAGAATACATTAGTGCTTTCTATTAGGTTAGTGAGGACTCATGCTAAAATAGGGGAAACTTAAATGGCGACGTCCGACCAGCTCCTTTTATCATAATGATTCTCTTTAGAATACCGGCCTGTGATAGTTCACCTCTCAGAAGGAAGAAAAGGTGTTAAAATTGTGTTCTCATGCCTTTCATCCTTTCCTAAGACAGAGCTTCAGATTTTTCTCATAACCCAGTGGATCTCCCAGCCCAGTCGTGACTGTCTTTCACAGCGTATGAAAAGCCCACAGTCCCATCCACAGCTGTCATCTCATTACCTCCAACCAGCCCTGTGTTGAAGAAATGCACTGGTACTAATAGGGCCACGAGACTATGGGACTTTTCCCCTTAACAATACCCCTTTCCCCATGTGACTACAAAGTGCCCTCCCCACGCCTGCTGCTTTTCAAGTTTTAGGTGAATGGATTCCAAGTTAACCAGATGGCAGCTTGCCACAAACAGACATCTTTATTCTATTTGTGAAAAAAAAGTCTAAGTTATTCTTCTCAACAACAACAGTAAAACCAAAAAAGTAATGCTAAGTCATGTTTATTGCAATCCATTCTTCAGGCCCAGCTGCAAACGTTGCATTTAAGGGTGGTGGAATGGGCACTGAACGGGGCTGTGTTCGTGGGCACTGAACACGGGAATTCCTGTGGACATCTTACACCAATTGCCCTGAATGGATCCCTTTGGCTTCTCAGTACAAAGTGAAATGAAAAACTGGTGGTTACCTTGCTAGTATGATGAGTGTTGACAGCCAATACAGATAATTTTTCTCCAAGTGGATTTTGGCGCTGGATTACATAAATTAGCTGTCTATGCTGATTACATTAACTGAATGATTGGCAAATCTCTGCTTCACTCTGTCTTACAGAGAATCAGCAGCTTGCTAGTGAGCCAAATTGACAATAGTTTCAGGGGTTTTCACCACTAAACAAATGGGCAGAGCAACCTTTTAAAGATAAGTAAATCTAACACTTAAAAACAAGTCTAACAGAAAGACTTTAAAGGGCACCAGAAGAGACATTCTTGTATATGTATCATGTTCATTAACACGAAGGCAATCATAGGTTTCTTGGCATTTATTAAAGGCTATTTAGAACTAAAATTACCTGAAATTTTATGCGGGGCCAAGAGCCTGGACACATTTATTCATCCTCATTTATCTTAATGTAGCCTTAATAACTTGATTAAGCTCCACCCTGCTGACTCTGATATGCAGATGAACTATGAAAATTAAGCAGACTAAAAATTTTAATTCAGTCCAATTTATAATTGTCCAAGTTTCACATTCTTCTGCTTTTTCTTAAATCCTCACCCTCAGATACTTTCTCTATTGCTGTCTAGACAGATTGGAAGGAAGGAAAGAGGAGGAGGTAAAGAAACATCAACTTACTGCCTCCTGCATGCAACCCTAATCAGGGCTGCTGATTAAACCTGCAACCCAGGCATGTGCCCTTGACCAGGAACAGAACTCAAGACAGTGTGGATCTGACACTCCAACCACTGAGCAACACTGGCCAGGGCAAGTTTGACATTCTTTAATCCCTTTTAAGATGCTGCAAACAGCAGACTCCAAAAGAAATGACTTAAAGCTTGAAGTGTTTACTTTTGATAGGCACACTGGGGAATTTTTCTTAAATCAGGTCAAAATAAAATATTTGCTGACACTGACACAATGAATGATGTAACAACTTAAACTTCCTTCTGAAATTTAAAGGAAGGGGTGGGTAATATAAGAAGACCACAGGGTGGAAATGAATGGTTCCCCATAAACCTCTTTTCTTATTAACGAACCCCACAGATCCCTGAGTTGCCTTTTGCCTTTAGTGTGTGAGCACTATGATTCGGCTTTCCTCTGAGCTGGAAGTATAGACACACAATAAAGAGAGATTCCTCTTGCTCACTCCCTTCCTCTCCCCTCCCTTTCACCTAGATGTGCATTCATGGCAGTCCGCCCAGCGCCACAGCAGACAGAACTTTCCCCTGAGCTGAGCTGCAGGGAAGGGGGGACTGTCCCTGTGATGCAGGGCATCTGTCTGCATGACAGTGGGTCTCACGCTGGCATTGCAGAGAAAGAAACAACCTGAACTGTCACCAAAGCAGGGGCTACAAATTCTTATGAGAGCTCTCTCTGCCCCCATGTCCCCAGGGGAAGAGAGAAGAGCAATATCGCTAATGGTCTGAGGAAGAAAATGGGCAGAAAATGAAAGAAAGTTGACAGGGAATGAAAGAAATGAGTTATTTAAAAAATATTGCACAGTTGCACAATATTGCCCCTAGCAACTCTCTAGATCATTCCCTAGAATGTAGAGAGGATTTGAAACATTTTTAAAAAATGGCTAGAAAAAGCACTCGGAAAACTTCCACATTCTCCCTGAATCAAATATACATGCAAAAAAAAAAATGTAATAATGAGATATGTGAAAACTGATAAAAATATAGGTGCTATAAAGACAATGGTTTTTTAAAACATCTTTTTTTAATGCCACTTTATAGCACGTACTGCTTAAATTACATTTTTAAAGAGTGATGTTCCAATGCATTTTTTCCCTATATTTTCCTGGAAATCCGATTTCCTAAAGGCCATTAGCTCCACTCCAGTGTAGCAAAGGCTAAGGGGCCAGAATCATGGAACTACTGCAGATGCTGATTTTGACAGGCAGAATGAATACTACAGAGTCAGATGACCATCTTTTGTCAACTGTGGAAAGGAAGTCTTGTTTGAAAATGCATCCTTCAACACTGATTCTTTTGGGTCAGGGGTGCAGCCAGACATTTGAAAATGTCACTGGTTCTAGCTAGCATATGTATTCCACCTGAGATGAACAAGATCTGGTCTTATGTCACTGATTTCTATTCTCTCCCAAGCCCTTTATAGCTATGTGGGAAGGAAATGCTTTCCTTCTAAATTATTGAAGTTCTCTAGCAGTTCTTTGGAAAGGGCAGGGAAACCACATTGTAACATCGAAATATCTCTTCTACAACAGGGATGACTATTGTGTGCTCTTTAATTTACCACGAATTTCACTAATATGTATTTAGCCTCATTGTTCTTTTCCGGGAAAATGGGACCAGCAAGATGAACGGATTTATGATATTTCCAGATAATGAGTGCGATTTCATATGCGCTTTAAAAATTCAGTCTTAAAGAGGCCGTCCAGACAGTCGCATAGGCTTACTTCCTCACTGCTAAGCCCTCTGGTGTAACTTGTACCCTGCCTTGGGCTATGGAAGGCTTTCTGGGAACCATTTAGAATGGTCAAGGGCATAAAGGAAATACATGCGGAAAGGGTGATCTTTTATAACTACTATATTCAAGTCAGGATTCGGTCTGACACTGAAATATACTTACTCAATGTAATTTATAGAAAGTATGTAGTGACTGAGTCTGAAAAAAATCAGATCAATAACCCAGGAGACAAATGGTGATATTACCCACTTCATTCAAACTCCTGACAGATAGAGAGAATGATGACAATGTAATGTCCTTTCTGCATGGTGGTGGGGTGTAAAAAGAATATAAAAGGAAGTACCAATTGTACTTTTCTTCCACCATTACCTCTCCCTTACTTTCACCCCCACCCCTGTAAAGTTATTTTTAAAAGTTCCTTTAGCCACTTGTTTTGGGACAGACAGATGTTTTTGACACACTGAACTTGGAAAAAATTCATTTGCTATACCCGAAACCACTCCATGCTGTGTAAGGCACTTTATTTCGTAAAGTTATTCTAAAAAGATTTAAGTTGATAGCTAGATATGCTAATGCTTCTCTCACTAGAGATTCTTTCAAGGTACTTTAAAATGCCAATTAAGTCATTTTAGATGAAAACCTTCAGCAAGGATCCACACAGAATTAAACATCATGTAGAGTCAACCATTTTTCATTTATGAATTCATTTAAGTAACTGGTAAGTGGAAGAGGAAAATAATAATTCAATTTTGTGTGTGTGTGTGTGTGTGTGTGTGTGTGTGTGTGTGTGTTTTAAAGATGATGTTTGGCTGCCATTCTGTGGAGCAATATAAGGGAATATTTTAACTTATAATTATACTAGAGGCCCAATGCATAAAATTCATGCAAGAGTAGGCCTTCCTTCCCCCAGCTGTCGGCACTGGCTTCCCTCTGGCACCCGGGACCCGGGCTTCCCTCTGGCACCTGGGACCTAGGCTTCCCTCTGGCTGCTGGCAGGCCCCCAGGACCCAGGCTTCCCTAGCAGCCCCGGCTTCGTCGGGAAAATTGTCCAGAAGGAAGTTAGATCCAATTAGCATATTACGCTTTCATTATTATAGATGGATCAGGCTGGTAAGTTAGAAAAGATGACTCCACTGTATTTTGTACATTTGGTTTTACCAATAGCCATGACATGGATCTGATACAGCATAGCAGGTAATGGATATAAAGTTCGGTCTGGAGACTTGTGGTCTCTGTTCCGACCTGAATCTCCGGCCTCGCCACGAGCAGCACGATTCTCCTACACTCCTCGCTGGAGAGCAAGGCCACTGCTTCTTCTCGGTTCTGGACATCCTCCCCATTTATCTAGAAAACATATGAACGTGGCACATTAGTTTCCATTTCCACCATGCTGCACACAATAAATGGCAAATATCAGCTCATTTATGGTAAATGTATGGACAATGAAGCTCACACAATGGGCTCATCCTCTGCCCCTCAGTGGTAAGTGCCTTCACTCAATTACGCGCTTACTGTAAGAGCCATATCGATCCCTGAAGGATGGCGGACATCAGAGGAAGCAGTTATGTTCATAAATGTCCAACCTGCGCCCTGGCAACATACATCTAGCAACACAATTAACCAGCCCCTGACAGGTGACGTTCATCTTTCTCCGCTCAGAGTAATGGAAGTGTCACTCTGAGATAATAGTGCTGGGGGAAGCAGTGTGGCAATACCACAACTGAAATCCGTCATCCTGCACACTCGCTGCGAGCCAATTAGAGAGCTGTGGCATTATCTCTCACCAGGCCGCGCGCCCAGGCCACTGCTGATTGCATTTTCATTTAATCATTTCATAGCCCTGCGAGGGTCTGACTCAGTTGTCCCGAATCACTCTCAGAATGTCTTTCAGGGCTAGTCTAATCAAAAGGAGGGAGACTTGGTAACATCCTCATCCATACTCCAGTTCCTCTCTAAGATTTACCCTAATTCTAAAACAATAAAATGATGCTCTGTCTTAAGACTCACCTCTCAAGTGTACTTAAAATATTTTAAAAGAATTAACACAGAGTAAAACGAGCTTTTTGGAGGAATGCTTTGTGAAAGAAATCAAGCTTGAGTAAGCTTCTGACTAAAAAGGAAAGACTCCGGGGGCATTTAAAATATATCTTTTTTTCTCTTTTTCTAAGTTCTACTGACAGAGCAAATAAGGTTTCTAAAATTTGTATGTGAAACTATATTTTCGTGCTTAAATGTATTTAGCTCTTAGTTAACCCAACTTTTTTCTTTGGATATTTTAAATTTATTTTGTCTTATTGATTGTTCAAATCCATAAAGACAATGAGATTTTTCACCCATAACATATAATCAAAATATATGAAAATAAATTTCAGTTGAAGAGGTCGACTAATTCTATCTCAAATAAGTATTAATTATATCAATAAATTAAAATGTGGCTGCACTGACCATCTTCTCCCCCCACCCCCCCAATAATTAACATCTTTCACTAAGGATTTCTGCTTAAAAGCATGAAGTAGACTGCTAAGGTTTTCTTGTTGTGGGTCCCTGGAATTCTGACTGATATTTGAGGACAGACATAGTTATTAAAAAAAAAAAAAAAAAAGAAGAAGAAGAAGAAGAAAAGAAAGAAAAAAAAAGTCCAGGAAATCTCAACTTTGAGTCATAGTAAACGATCCAAATTCCTAGACTGTTATATACTTAACACAAATAAAGAAATAAAGCAGATAATCAGGCAAAGGTGGGAAAGTCACACAAACACATGTATTTTCTTACTCTGATCAAAGGAATATCCATTAGTTTTTTTACTTGTATATGGAAATTCTGACTTTATTAGTTTCAAGTGCATTTTCTTTCCCTCCCCCCCCCATTCATAAATAACATTTATTAAGTTAGAAAATAGAAGCTATGATTCCAAAACAGAAACTAATAACTGGGCAGCATATCTCCTCTCCCCAAATATATATTTGAAGAGGTTTTTTCCTAATGAATCCAAGGCCATTTTTCCTCAAATAAAGATACGTTGGAGGTGATGGAATCCACGATGTCTCTTCCACCCCCAATTAAGTGTAGTTTGAAAACTTTTACTTTCTTTGAACTTTGAGGATTAATGTTCATTTCATAGAAATTCTTAGTAGTATATCTACAATGCATCTACTTGTCTGTCAGTCATGGACCTAGTCAACTTCCTCTCTATAAGAGGCACATTTGATTCAAAGGGAATTGAGTTGGATGATCTCACATAGCTTATCTTCATCTTTTCTATTTAAAATAAAATTCTCACTATGTATCCCTCCTACTCTCCATTTCAATATTTACACATACTGCCAAATTCTTCACCTAACTTTCACTTTCCAGTAATTTAAATACTTTTTCATGTATGTTAGTTTAATGTTTCTATTATATTCCCAACATTACAGTGCAGATAATCCTATATAATAAAAAAGCAAATATGCAAATAGACCAAACGGCCAAACAACCGAACAACCAATAGCTATGATGTGTGGTAACCACCAGGGCCCATGCAGGACATGGTGGGCATCGACTGCATCAGGATGGTGGAGCAGATGAGTGGGGGTGCCAGACCAAAGCGGGTCATTGGAGCGAACTTCTGGAGGTTACTGAAAATGCTTTGCTCCCCCATGCCGCAGTCTGGCCTGGCACTTGCACTTGCACTTGCTCTTGGCACTGGTCCTACTCGCACTTGCTGCTGATGCCTGGCACTTGCCCCTCAGGGCTTCTCCATTTTCCTCTGCTCCTGAGAGGTGATCGCCGTGGCACCCACTGATGGTGCAGGCCCCACTTGCACCCTCTGCTGGTGTTGGCCCCAATCGCTCCACACTGTCAGTGGATGCAAGTGGGCTGGCACCATCAGTGTGTGGGAGCAGTGGTGGGGGAGGGCTACTGGCAGACAGGGGATGGGGGGTCATGGCAGGAGGGGCCAAGAACTGCCTGTGTGCCCACAGCAGCCTTGTGGCCCAGAGTTTGTTTCAAAGTGCACGAATTCATGCACTGGGGCCCTAGTAATAGCTAATAATTTCTTTCTTTCTTTCTTTCTTTCTTTCTTTCTTTCTTTCTTTCTTTCTTTCTTTCTTCCTTCCTTCCTTCCTTCCTTCCTTCCTTCCTTCCTTCCTTCCTTCCTTCCTTTCTTTCTTTCTTTCTTTCTTTCTTTCTTTCTTTCTTTCTTTCTTTTTTTAAGAGGGCTGTTATAAGGATTAAATGAATTACGATATATAAATATGGGTTTAAATAAGTGCCTGGCACACTTTACTGTTGATGCTATTGTTGTTATTTCTGCCATTATTTATATTTTAATCTTCAGGAAAATTATTTTCTTCTAAATAAAGCAAATATATTAAAATTCATGCCACAATTAAATCCATAGTAGTAAACATGGTTCTATTTTAAAATGTATCTCACATGTACTTACAACTCTTAGAGACCCATCAAGAAGCAATATATTTCTGTTTCATCTTAAGTCCTTTTACAGTTGACATGCATCTCTGTCCTCTATGAAGTCCTAATGACCTAGAGCTATGGTCTCCGGACCTGGACGTCAGTCCTTGTTTTTTTGGGGGGAGGCACTTATCAGATCATACATTTTAGAAACACTTCACATTCTGCCGAAACTGGATAGAGCAGTGGATAGAGCGTCGGTCTGCGGACTGAAAGTTCCCAGGTTTGATTCCGGTCAAGGGCATGTATATTGGTTGCGGGCACATCCCCAGTTGGGAAGGAATGAGGCAGCTGGTTGATGTTTCTCTCTCATTGACATTTCTAGCTCTCTATCCCTCTCTCCTCTCTGTAAAAAATCAATAAAATATATATATTTTTAAAAAGTAATACTTTACATTCAGAATCATATGTGGAATGAAATGAACTTGTCACTGAAATCTGGCATTAAAGAGTGATATATTGTGGTGATTTGTTGTTGTTTTTCAAAACAAAGGCCACTTTAGCCAACTGGTTGGTAGATCCTGTTGTCCTCAGGACTTTTGTTTGATTCCCTAACTGACTTGGGGCAAGACCTGCAGCCGCGGGTCTCAACAAAAATGCTTCTCAAGGAATGAGAAGATCTGAGGAATGGAATCAGCTAGAACTTTCACCCTTCAATTGCTCTTATTCCTACATGCTGGCTTGTAGCTACAGGATCTCTTGTGGGGAGTGGCTGCAAACACCAGCAGACATAAAGGTGCAGGACCCAGAAACCGGGGGAGGAGACAGATGAAAGGCATGTCACTGAGATTTAATGGAATGCTTCCCTTTTTAAAACAGAGAAGGAGAGGGAACCAGGAGAAGGCAACATGCAACTTCTGTCATAAATGAAGAACAACTCTGCTAGATAATATATTTGTCTCATTTTCTGTGGATGGCCATATGCAAATATTAGTTTCAAAATGAGTATTGCCTTAGCTGAGAGGAGGTTTGTGGCAATTACAAAGATACATCAGGGAAGATCTCATTTTGTGCCCAATCTCTTATATGTATGTGCACATGAGCATCGTGTGTGTGTGTGTGTGTGTGTGTGTGTGTGTGTGTGTAAAGAGTTAAAATTCTAGAAACTGTTTAATGTAGCTTTTTTGCTTGACTATACCAATTTTCAGTTTCCCATTTTAGTATATCAGATGCAGCTGGGCAACTAAAATCATAGACATCCAGCCACCTAGGGAATTTCTTATTTGAAAAATACAAGACTCTTAGGCAGAAGAGAAATGATTCATTTCAAATGGGTTCATATTGTAAGGTGGAGAGGAAGAAGGTAAATGAAGTATAGAAATGTAGAGATGGGCAAAACAGAAATTGGTGCAAAACAGTTACCCAAAGGAAGAAAATAAGATGAGCAAGAAGAAATGCTGAGGACCACTCTGTGTGTAGGGGAGAAAAATAAAGAGAGGGCTCATCTGGAATCTGATGTCCCACTAGTCTGAGTTTTTGCCAGTTTTTGTCACCAGGCAGTCCTCAGGAATACAACCGCCTGCCTTGGCTGACAAGAAATTAGGCTGCTTACATAGAATATTCAATTGTATTACCCCAAGGAGACAATGAAAATATAGCACTCTCTCCTTTGGAAAGATGATCACAGGTGGCATTTAATCCTTCCCCTCTGGCTCCAAAATGCCTGGTCTTTATTTGGTGCTGCAATTTTGTGAGGGGACATCCCCCTATGAATTCCCAAAGACACATCTGATACCACAAACCTGTGGCAATAGCACAGCAGATAGGACTGTCAGGCACTTGCGGAGAGAAAACACATAGGTGAAAGCCAGAATATGTTCTCAGGAAGTCAGCGCATGCTTTCACTGCTGCATAATCCCTACCCTGCATCAACCTCCTGCCAAGTATCTGTGTATGGATGTTGTCACTGGGTGAGGTCATCTAACAGGGAGGGCCATGGTTTAAGTCATTTGGAAAAATTTAGCTACACAGTGAGGGCAGGATCACAGAGGTACTCTACTTAGGTCCTCATGAACAGGAGATTAAAATCACAATAGCTCCAAAGAGATTCATTTAAATAAAAGCCAGCCAGGAAACTGGAAGGATAAGAAGTAAATCCCCCCTTTTCTCCCACGCTCATCTCCCTGGGAAAGGAGTCATTAATTCTTCATTACAGGGTATCCCATAATCTCCCCATCAGCCATGTGGGAGCTATTTGTCTATGGGTACAATTTTGCCACAGTTTTCTTTAATATAATTTCATTATCACCCCTAAGACCCTTTGTTTCCTGTGTGTGCAGATAGAATTGAATTCAAGGCTTTTTAATGTGACATGTATTTATTCATTAAGTGTGATATATTTCCACTGAATATGAAATAACCAGACAGACAATAGCACTGTATCAATTCTGCTGTTGTTTCTTCCATGAACCAACTCCATTAAGCAATGCCATATTGCTTGGGTGCGTGGCTCAGTGATTGAGCATCCTCCCATGAAACAGAAGGTGACGGTACGATCCCAGGTCAAGGCACATGCCCAGATTTCCATCTCGATCCCTAGTAGGGGTATTTAGGATCCCTAGCAGCCAATCAATGTTTCTCTCTCATTTATGTTTCTCTCTGTCCCTCTCTCTCTCCCTTTCTCTGAAATCAAATCATTCATACATATATATAGCTGGGCACATGAATTTCATGCACAAAGGAGAGGGTGTCCTTAGCCTAGCCTGTATCCTCTTGCAATCTGGGAATGCTGGCTCCTAACTGCCTGCCTGCCTGATTGCCCCTAACTGCCTCTGCCTCAGACCTTGCCACTGGGGCATCATTGGGAAGGATGTCTGGAATGACATTCGGAAGGTTGTTTGGCTATCTGGTCTAATTAGCGTATTATAGCATATTTCGCTTTTATTATTATTGATATTTATTTTCTGCCCATAATATAGCCAAGAATAAAGAAGTGTCAAAACATACAGAATGTGTATGTGGAAACACATGTATTTATTCCTATCTAACTTTAACCGCAGAACTCACATGTAATTTTAAAAGCTGTATTCATGGACCTAGCCCAGTGGTCGGCAAACTCATTAGTCAACAGAGCGGCAAACCGTGGCTCACAAGCCACGTTTTGTCGACCACTGACCTAGCCCATGGGAAAGTGGTTACCTGAAAACCAGGGAGGGAGTCAGTGCGGGTGCAGATAGTACTGGGTGTGGCATGTCGATGTGAAAGGAAGAAGTGACAGTGGCAGACAGTAAGAGAACAATGACAAAATAGAGACCCGACATATCAGAAAATGTAGCCAACTAGAGTCACGTCACATGGGGCACAAAATCTTCCAGGCTTTTCAGTCATTGAGCATTTCACTCTATTATAGCATTGCTGGGCATAACACAACCCTGAGCGTCAAAAAAGGTTACATCCTTTTTAGTGTACTCAATTGGAGATGTTAACAAAGTGAACTAGATTTAAAATTCTTCTAAATAAAAAAATTTAAAATATTTTTGAAGCTTTCATTATCTAAATGATGCCTTCAAATGGTACCCTTAGTTCTTGTTGAGGCCACACAAATAAAGCTATCCGATCACTCTCTCCACTGAATATGTCTGTCTCACTTACTCCCATGTGCATCATAAGACATTAAAAATATGGGATTAAACAAGACTCAGCCTTGGTTCCCAGGTTCATTGTCCTTCCCTTGATACAGCCAATGCCAGGCACAGTCCAGTTTTTTAACCACAGGCCACTACGTAGGGAGCTCACAGCATCGTGAAGACAGGATAGAAGAAAGCAGAAGGCTGGGCGGGATACCCCTTGGGTGTTGGCCTGAAGTGGCAGGGGCACACCTTGATGATGTATTTGTGATCAGCTGTGTAGGCAGCCATCTTCCTAATTACACAGGGACCGCCCCAAATGCTGGGATGGCATCTTGTCTATTTTTGAAATCCTGTTCTAGGCACCTTGTTGAAGCCAAATGTTTGAGTTCAAAGAAACATCATCTGGGGTGTGTATGCAGTAAGAACAAATGGGAACCATAGATCTGCCCTAAGGACCAGACGTTCTGCAGATGACTCAACAGTTGGTAGCGTCCCCAGTTTGTCCTTTGTGTCCTCCCTCTCGTTTTGCAGCGGAACTCAACTCACAAGGGCCTGAGCTTGGCTTTCCCAGGTGGCTTTCTGGAGCCATTTTCCTGGGAAAGGATTCGGGAGGGACAGGAACTTTGACTCTCAAGGTTATCCCTGATTTGGCCCTGAACTTTTCTAGTTCTGTGACCCACTCTCTCTTCTCTCATTCAGCTGAAACGCAATGTTTCTGTTTTCGTGTGGAGAAGAAAGCATATCTCCTCCTCCTGTCTTGAACAACTTATTAGTAAATAGTTAAAACTTCAAGCCTTCTAGGCTTTCATATAGTAATGGAACATTGGGATCTGTCACCTAAATTATTCTGGAAAAGGTAGCAATAACCGCTGCTGCTGCTAATAATAATAGCAATGAATGCTTATCCCTCACCAAGCACTGTGCTAAGAATATCACATGCATGATCACATCTAACCTTTGCAGCAATGTCTTATCATTATATTTTTTTAAGATGAGGAAATAGGCTTACAAGAGTGTAAGTAATATGCTCAAGTAAGTGTGGAGATGGAAGTTGGGGCTAAATTATATGAGTTCAGAAAGGGCACCCTCATCACTAATTATTAGCTAATAATTCTTATTAAATGGCACCATCCTCACTGGAAAAATAATACCTTTTTATTTTGTAGATGTTACTACCCAAAGCAAAATCAAATTCTTTTCTCTAACATTTTACTTTGGACACACATGCCCTGGCAGGTGGGCTCAGCGGTTAGAACACCGGCCCTCACACCAAAGGATCTTGGGCTCCATTCCCGGAGCCTGGGTTGCATGTTTGTCCCTGGTCCTGGCCAGGCGCATGGGGGAGGCAATCAGTCCATGTGTCTCTCTCACATCAATGCTTTTCTCTCTCCTTCCCTCCCTGCTGCTACTTTCTAAAAATCAATGAAAAAAATTTCCAAAAACAAACAAACAAACTACAACCCAACACAAAACAAACAAAAAGAATTGTAAGAAACTGAAGGAAATAACCACACCACATACTTGCAAAATACGATCCCCTTCTCGAATCCGGCCATCTTTGGCAGCAATACTATTTGGATCTACCTGCAACAGAGAGGACATACATCTTCAACCTGATCTGCAAGTTCCCCCCAAGAACTTAAAATTATGGTTTTAAAAAATATTTCTACAAACCTGGTTCACGATTCTCTATTGATTTATAGAGTGCATTTCAAATTTTTCTCTGTGAAAAAAAATCACTGATTCTATAGCCACATAATATTCCATGGTGTAAATAAATATATCCCAGCTTTTATATCAACTCATCAAATGCTGGGAATTTGGGCTGTTCCCAGATCTTGACTATTGTAAAGAATGCTGCTATGACCACACAGGGATGCATATATTATTTCTGGTTGGTGTTTCAGGAGTTTTAGGATATATTCCCAGAAGTGGGATTGCTGGGTCAAAAGGCGGTTCTATTTTTAATTTTTTGAGGAAACTCCATACTGTTTTCCACAGAGGCTGCACAAGTCTGCTTTCCCACCAATAGTGCAAATGAAGATTCCTTTTCCTCTGAAACCTCACCAGCATTTGTTTGTTGATTTCTTGATGGTAACCATTCTGACGGGTGGGAGGTGATATCTCATTATACTCTGACCTTTACGACAGTATGGATAGACCTGGAGATTATCATGCTAAGTGATAAGCCAGAGAAAAATAAATACCATATCTGGAAGCTAATGACCAAAATAAACTGGTGAACAAAATAGAAACAGAGGCATGGATATATGGAACAGACCGACAGAAGTTAGAGAAAAGGGGGTTGGAAGATACAAAGTGAAGAGATTATCCTTAAAACATACAAACATAGCCCATGGACATAAATAACAGTGTGGTGATGGCCTGAGGAAGGGTGGATAGGGGCTGGGTGGACCTGGGTAAAAGGGGGTGGTGGTGGAGGACATCTGATAGTGTCAACAATAAAAAATTATAAGAAAAAATAGTTGATTCTAAAAATGTAAATAAACTGCTTTAGAATTAATGATAATACAATTAAAAAGACTAGAGAACCCTTGATTTGAAGACCATTTTTCCTTCCCTTCCTCTCTTTCTTCCTGCCTTCCTTCCTTTAACTGTTCTTGCTTTTTATATCCACTCACTCATTTCTGTTCCCCAACTGTCATACATGTCTTCAGCTGATGTTAATACTTAGGATTCTCTGGACCAAGAAAATTTACTTTCTACTAGAGTGATTTTAAATCCTGCCTTCGCTGTCTTAGAAAAGCTGATAGCTATACTGTCAGTCCATACTTTTTAAAGGATTTCTGTCTCGTTGAGCACATTAATTTATAAAGAGATTTATAATCTATGTTGCTTAAAAATTAAAAAGTCCTACCATGTAGATTACTAGACACTACATAAAGAGTGAAATATATTAACTAAAATGTTTTAGAATAAATATATATTTAGTGCGCAATTAAGAGTTTATCAATATTTTAACACGCCAAACTTGAGTGATGACTTACAATTTACTAGGGGTAATTCCACCTATCACATTTCACAGGATGGCTTCAAACCATTTATATCATCAAAGTTTTGTTGTTTTTGTTATTATTGTTGTTATTTTAGCAACCTATTTCAAGTGTTGCATGAGATTGATCCATCCTATCCAGATGTTAGATAGTACTTGTTTATTAGTGGTGCACTTAATAAATGAGTCTTAAGTGGTCAATAAAAACTAAAAAGACACTGTAATTACATGCAAGAGGTAAAAGAAAAATATTTCTTCCAATACCTGTGTTCAGTTCCTGTGGCTTACTTACTACCCCTGGAAAGTCAAGTTCTAAAGCTGACATATTTAAATAGTAATCAGAGACTTACTAGGAGGAAGTGAGGGTTAAATCAATGGTAATCTGTTTAGAAGCCATTCACAATCTAAAACTTTGTCCTCAGAACTGTTATTAAACTAATATTAAACTTCTACATTTGTACTTTTGTGCATATTACACAAGAGAATCCTGCAGGTGTTTTCCTTATACTCCCTCACCATAATTGCAGGGATTATCATAGCTGTACATTTAAAAGATGTATATAAACTTGAATTTTGCTGGAGATTTTTCCATTGCAAAAGCCAGTCAGTAAATTCTTTTTTTTTTTAACTATCTTTAATGTTGAAAGTATTACAGATGTCCTCTTCCTTTCCCCTCTTTGCTCCCTCCCCAGGCCTTACCACACTATTGTCTGTGTCCATGGGTTATGCATATACACATATAAGTTTTTTGGTTAATCTCTCCCCACCTCTCTGAGATTTATCAGTCTGCTGCATGTTTCAATGTCTTTGGGTCTATTTTTTTTATCAGTTTATTTTTCTCATTAGATTCTACATATAAATGAGATCATGTGATATTTGTCTTTCTCTGGCCAGTCAGTAAATTCTTTGGTAAAGTGATAAAGAGTAACATTGACACTTATAGAGCTGTATAGTTTTCTAAGTACATTAACCACATTATCTTTTATATTTTCTAAACATCTCTATACAAACAATGAGATAAGCATTGTTGTACCAAGTTTCTAACTGAAGAAGCTGAAGCTCAGTAAGTCAGGTAATGTTTTCAAGATCATGGTAAAAAAAACTTGGAATAGCAATTAGTATCCAGTCTGTCTACCTTCTGCGCATATATATGTACACATACATATACATACATGTACATTTATTTATACATGCACATATGGAGGATTTATATAATATATATATGTACATAGGCATATATACATATATTTACATAATGAGGTAATTTTTAATCTTAAGTATATATAATTTAATAAATCATACCTTACCGCTTCTCATAAAATGATTCTTTTGGGAGTTAAAAAAAATCACCTATAATAATAAATTTTGCTTCACGATTTTTCAAAGTAATTAACACGAAGGGTGTTTCACATTCAAGTACCTCATTTTTTAAATAGTAATTATGGGGTTGCATAAAACAAACTAATAGATGCATGCCTTGAATATTCAAATTTATTAATGCTGTCAGCAGAGTAAAATATGTGATTGCTGTGAATATTAGATTTAGAACAATTAGTCAACGCTATTGTTAGCAGCACTGATAGAAGACACAGTGGAATGGAAGGACAAATGTTTGCCGATCAAAAACTTTGCTTGATTTCCTGCATACTTATGGGCATTTATTCAAATTTGGACAATGTTACTCTTTTTTGCTTTTTTCCCCTCACTGGGATTTTGTGGTGAAAGATCCACATCAAACAAGCTGATAATAATTACATTACGTGGGCAACATCATTTACCTTCCTAATTGAAAGTGACAAGTGTTGGAACATGGCCAATTCCTCACAGTCAAGCCTCCCAAGGATTTTCTCATGGGGAGCCACTTCACTCCATTCCTCACAGTCTCCCTCCTCTGACCTCGCTGCGTGGCCTTTCTTACCTGGCTGACATAAATGCCGGTGTCTTCTTCGTCATCCGTGCGGTAGCAGACTGTCAGGCCCAGCTTCTCCTGACTGCTAACACGACACAACTCGACCTCCTGAGGAAAACGCACGCACAGTGACAGTTATCTCCGAGAGGAATCCCACAGCAGAATGGAGAACTCACGGACGCTCTGAGTTTCCCTAGGATGTTTTCATAATCATTGCCCAACTTTTGAAATTAAGTTGTTACCAAAATCATCAAAATAGACCTTCAACGTTCATTTCTGCATAATTCAAGCTAACACTTCCAATGTCATTGGATAGTTGGGAATGTGCATTGTCTGCATGACATCAAAAGTCTAAAACACCTTAGAAATCACACAATGAAGTATAAATAAATGTGCATACGTCCTTATGATGGAATCAGTAACATACTTGAGAATGTCCAAGCAGGTGGCAAAATGTTCATTAAAATATTGAGAGTCACTGTGTCTTTATTTATATTTTAATAAAATACAGTTCAAATAAAAAAGACTATATTAGAAAGCAAGTATTTTGTGTGGCTCAGGTCAAGGTTTCTATTATTTGGTAGAAGCTCTCGCCCTTGAGATGAAATGGATTTATCCAGACTGAAGGGAGAGACCCATCAACAGTCACGTGGGCAGAGGCAATGATTCAAAATGCAGCAGTAAATGAACAAGGAAACACATTGACTGAAACACATGGCTAACAGGCTTAAAAAGCCAGTCTTTAGGTAATATATGTTGAATCTATTTCCTGATTTATGTTCAGCAAAATAATAATAAATTTCAGTGTATTTCAGTTTTATATCATGCAATAGATTTGTGCTACTCTCAGCAGCAGATGACTTTAGGATAAATTGCATAATTCCAAGGACTAAAACACAAATTGGAACTCTCATCCTGGAGCAACTGTTCCTGTTGGATGGAGAATATAGGGCCCTTTAGCAAATTACCAGATGAGAAAGAACAAAGTACATTTAATGGAAATGAATGTCTGGAGTACGTTTCTAGAACTCGGGCTCTGTGGGAATTGCAAACGTGCCTGTCTTGCTTACTGCTCCTTCTCCATGATCTACAGCAGGGATGCACCGAAGGCGGACACTGGTTGAAGGGTGATTGATTCTATTTCAAAATCCGTCCTAAATGCTTGTAACTTTCTGTGAAGCAGTAATTAAGTCATCTTTCCTCTTTTTTAAATAAATGTTTTTTATTGATTTTTAGAGAGAGAAAAAGGAAGAGGGAGAGGGAGAAATATCCATGTGAGAGCAAAACATAGATCGGCTGCTTCCTGCACACCTTCTACCCAACCAACTGAGCCACACCCTCGAGGGCAGAATTGCCTATAATTGAAGGTTGATTGTGTGTGTTTGTGTGTGAAAATATTTCAAAGATGATATTAATAAATAATCCATCTGTCTATAATCTGAAATAATTACCAGGACTAAATAAAGAAAATTTCACTTTATTTTAAACAAGAGGATACTTTCCAGTATATCCTGCATTACATTTGAAATATCCTCCCTTTCAATTTTGCAGTTCAGTAGAGTCTTTGTCTTTGAATAATAATCATTTATTTTAATGACATGCTATAAACCACAGGTAAATCCTTAGCAAGGATAAACTATCATAAGCTCCAGTGACAAATAACTTCACAGCTAATATGAAATCAAATAAAATTGCAATCTCCTATCTTGAGACATGCCCTTCAAATTGGTGAAATACATAAAACAATGAGTGTTGACTTTCTAACTGGTGGGCAAATATACTCTAAATTACATTATAATGATTAAAAAGGGCATGGTGTATGCTAAACAATAAAGAAAATAGAGAAAAAAATCTTTTCACCTAAAGGAAGAATTGGGGGGGGGGGGAGTGATATGATTTGGCACCAGAAGCAAAAAGTAATACCAAGCAAGGGTATTTTCACAACTGGCAATAATTAATGCCTCCAGAGGGAAAGACTACTTGACTAAAACTGGGACATTAGGAAGGAATTACCGCAACAAAAGAGCTCCAATTACAGCAGTGAAGTGCACAGTTGAGGAGTAAAGAAGCTTGTGATTCCTAAGAGGCCTACAAGGAAATCTAAACACCCATAAAGAACTGGGATTGGGGCCTTTAAATTCAAGCAAATAAAGAGTCTTCTCAAAGCTCAAATCCATTGACTATTATAATGTCCTGCCTTCAGCATAGGACAAAGTCCCTCCCAGCGGGCAGATGTTTCCCTAGGGAGCTTTCCTTCCTGATTGTGTTCTCTACTTGCTCCGTGGAGCATCCTGGCTTGATCACTGTTTAGGAGATGCATATCAAAATACTGTGCAATCAAGTGGAACCAGTGCATTAAAATAAAAGGGCTGCCTAGCTGGTGTTGCTCAGTGGTTGAGCGTCGACCTCTGAACCAGGAGGTCACAGTTTGATTCCCAGGTCAGAGCACATGCCTGGGTTGCGGTCTGGATACCCCAGTGTGGGGCATGTAGGAGCCAGCCGATCAATGATTTTCTGTCATGATGGATGTTTCTGTTTCTCCCTCTCCCATTCTCTCTGAAATCAATAATAAAAATATTTTTAAAAAATTAAAAGAGTAGAATCTACCCCCTTTACCACAAATAAAAGCATTTACCCAAGAATCACCGGGGAAAGAAGACTAAGATCCTGAGGTCAAAATAACTTTTCAATATTGTCACCATATTGGACCTAAGCAAAGGGGTGAAACACGTCTCAATGTTCCATACAGCACCTTTGTTTTCAGTGCCTCCTTTTTATAGACACTCAGCACCCTCAGATTTCCTTTGATCTCCCTGAAGTTCTTAGGGAGCCAGTGGTATTTCAGGTTGTGCTGCCGTAATGACCTGTCTGCTAAAAATACCTGGGTTTTGGTATGATCTTCCATTCTCTCAAAGGCAGCTCCTGAATCAGAAATATAATTGATAAACCCATATTTCTTAAACAGATCATCATTAAAATTACTTAAAATGTGGGCCATCCAGGGGTCAATACATACTAATAAATACTGAAAAATACCAAGCTTTCAATTAAAAGACAAGCTTTTTGGTGTTGCAATTTCAGGCTCTGAAGGAAACTCAAGTGAGATTCCCCGGATGCCACAAACCTTTGCTGCACACCAGTCCCAAGCGTGGGCCTGCATTTCTTTCTCCGGTGAAGAATGCCTCAGACTACACATTTCTTATTAGTGCCCAGAAGCATAAGCTTTAGAATCAAAGTGCCTTTAATTCTACGACAACATAACGTACACGCAGCCACCTGTAGAGCATGCTGTGTGCAGGAGGCCAGGGTGGCTTCCTCTAGCCTGCTTCTCTGAAAGGAATGCTCAGGCACGGGTTGCATTTAGCATTCCCTTCACAGTGCGCCCCGACTCTGATTTCTGAAGAAACCACCTCTGGTAATAGAGGATGCTTTCCCTAACAACGCTCCTACCTTTCCCCCTGTCACAGGGAAGCCTTTTGATGGAAAACATAAAAGTGAAATGCTACCTTCTGCACATTTTCTGCACGGAAGACGATTCGGGGGCGTATACAAATCAAAGCTGAGCCGATGCTCCCCATCCATAAGTCATTCGTGACTGCGGTGGGAGAAGCACTTCACAGGTCTGGGGAAACTACATTCATTTTGGCTTCAGTGTGCTTTAAGATGCTATGGTCGGAAATATGTACAAAGTCCCTTAAAAAATCAAATCATGGTATGTAATCCTGTGAAAAGCTGATTAGGTGGAGGTTGAAGGTGGAGTCTAAGATTGAAGTTAGAAAAGCTTGTTGTGAATCATCCTTCCAATCTTAGAATGACAAGAGGGGGGATTTCACATCAGTCGGTTAGACTGACGTGCTGAGAAATTTATATATATTTTTTATAATTGGATCTAGGGAGAAAGTAGGAACTTAAAAAGAAAAAGAAAAAAACTACGCTTGCTTTGGCTTTCTAGAGAGGACTCTTCTGTTGGAGGAAGAACTGAGGCTTGCAGCTGCCTGTCATGGCTTTTTAAGCAAATTGTTTCTAAACTCCAAAGAGCTCAGAGGTCTACGCCACAGAGATTTTTCCCCTGAATGAGAAAATTCGGAGGCTGTTGGAACTACTCAAGTTTGGAGAAGAGCCAGAGCTAGACAAGATGGCCATTGATATTAACTGACAATCCTGGGGGAGAGAGGCTATTGTGTCCATACCTTTCTTTTTATTTTCATTTGTTTTGCTGCTTTTTATTTATCAGACAACATATGGGCTACTATACAAGTTTGGTATTAATCACTGTCTTACATATTGTATTTTTTTAAAAGATATGTTTAGTGATTTTAGAGAGGAAGGGAGAGAGAGAAAGAAACATCAATGATGAGAGAAAACCATTGATCTGCTGCCTCCTGCATGCCCCCAACTGGGGATCAAGCCTACAACCCCCGGGCAGTGTCCTTGACTGGAATTGAACCCAGGACCCTTCAGTCCATAGGCTGACACTCTTCTCACTTAGCCAAACTGGTTAGGGCCCATTCTGTATTTTTTAAAAATATATATAGTTTTATTGATTTCAAAGAAGCAAAAGGGAAAGAGAGAGATAGAAACATCAATGATATGAATCATTAATTGGCCTCCTCCTGGCACACCCCCTACTGGGGATTGAGCTGACAAATACCCTCGACTGGAATTGAACTTGGTATCCTTCAGCCCACAGGCTGACACACTTATCCACTGAGCCAAACTGGCTGGGGCTTACATTTTGTATGTTGATTAGTAACTAGAAAAAAATCCATGCTTAGATATTTCAATAAAATATTTACTTAAAAAAATGAAGTAGAAATATGAAAATTTTAACCCCCACAGCTAAGAGAAGCCTAGACACTCTACAGCAGCAATTTTCAACCTTTTTCATCTCATGGAACATAAACTAATTACTAAAATTGTATGGCACACCAAAAAATATATCATATTTTTCCTCTGGCAATTAAAAAACCAGGTATAATTTTGATTCATTCACACTGGGAGACTTGTTATGTTGTCTGTTTTCATTCTTTATTTTGACAGTTGAAAGGAAAAGAGGGCGGTGCTCCTGACTAAATAGTCAGGTATTACATGTTTGAAAAATTTTTTTG